TTTTACGACAGGCGGAGGTCCCGTGGCGCTATTCTACAAAAAACCCCGGCAACCACACAGGGCTCTGTGTGTGCGTGTGTCTATATATCTGTTCTAAAATACAAACATATAATGATGACAAGAAAAGGCTATAGTAGAATAAAGGTTTCAAAAATGCCTTCAAATGTTTTAAACAAACTGTCAGGAATATGTTTGGAATGAGAAGAAACGAAAAATTTCTCAATTTTCAGACACCCCCTTGTGTTACTACTCCCTCCTCTTCCCACAAACATACACATTTTGTGAAACTAATGGAGCCACAACAGCATGTACTTTTTCTCACAAAGTATTGAATATGTGATATAATACTGCAGTAGCTGTCCATTTTAACACATCTCAATCATTACTTGCAAATCACAATACAATTCATAGAACAATAGGTGCGAAAATAATTCTTTTAAAGCTAATATATCAACACAAATTCTACAATTAAATATATTTTAAGACTAAAAGTAGTAGTAATAATAATAATACCAACAACGCAGTGGCAATAGCTGCTGTCTACAACCCCTTATTGCCTGCGCGGCATTGTTAAAGGGTCAATGGACAATTCGTTTGTCATATACGCAGAGTGAATATTTTCTTATTAAGTTTATTTTCATATATATAATATTAATTTCTTAACTGCATCAAAATAATTGTAAATTAAAGAAGTAACTTATTCTAGAAAATTAATATACTCTAATTAACTACATCCAAATAATTAACATAAACAAGATAAAAAGTTTTAAAAAATATATATTAACACTAGAAAATTAGGTTAAAATTTAGTGTACGGGACACCCTTAGCGAGGCGTGGTGGCGGGGCTTCATCCCTAATTACTGTACATGCTCTAATGAATAAAACTTACGGATAGGCGATTTTCATTGTTCCCCCTTCATATGCTTTGTCCCCACCGCATTGTAACGCCAATTTACTTTCAAAGGCAAGTTTTCTTGCTTCGCTCGCCCGGATCCAAGTCACGGCGAGGCTCGGGCCTTCGGCGTTTGCGTTCACTATATACATCCTTAAGTCTATCCAACGCATAATTACCAATTCACTTTTATAAGACATCACTTTTCAAGAAAGCCTCCAGAATTCTAACTGCCTAGTTAACGTCGGAATGGCGCGAAATGCCGGTTTCAACGACTTCCCTAGGATGTACCCTATACTACATTTCAGCCGAATATTTAAATTTTCGATTTATATCCACGATGCTCTTGTGAAAGATACCACCTTATTTCACAACTTCTTTCACAAAAAGCACTCGTCTAGAAATTGTCTGAATATCACGTTGTAACGTTAAATTGCAACTTGATAACCGGTGCTGCCAGATAGCAGAAACGTTAATATCAAATTATGGTAAGTTACATAAAAATTCGTACAATATTCTCATACTCAGTTTCTTCACCTTTTCTTTCATATTACATTAAATCATTTTCAAGAGATAAAATCTAATTGGACTAATTTCAATTAAGGTTTTCATTTGGTTGAAAGAAAATACGTTGAGAATACAAATTGTAAAATAAATTTAAAATCACATTAAATTTGGGATTTTCAATAGTAAATAATAATTAACATACGTCTTATTTACCTCGAAGGCAGACTTTCGCGTACTTTCTAGAGAATCGAAACGGTATCATACAAGTCGGCAACACCGCGCGCGTATCCATCGAGATAAATTGATATGGTTGGCTTGACGGGTGGAAATTACAATGGTCTATAGATAGACCCTGAACGAAACGCTCACAGCAATAAATATTCCAAATTAATCACTTCGATACTACCCTTTGAGCCAATCATTGCCAGAAAGCACCTACTTCTTCGCAATATTAGTAACGCTTACGTAATATATGTGTATAAATGTAACTTCAAATTAACTTCCCCCCATAGCACGTCAACGTTTTTAATTGTTTTTGACATAAATAAATAAATATGCATTTACATTACAACTTAATATAGATATACATTATCGCACCGAATGTTCTACGATACTAATATTAAGTTAAACAATTAGAAGGGATTCTCAGAATATTCAACTGCCCCCAAGCACTTCTGAAATTACTTTTACAGACTGACAGCGCCTCAAACTAAGCGCAGGAAATACGAATTTACCCCTTGGATTTTTTTCTTCCAATTTTCGAAAATACAGAGACTGCGTCGAAAATGGGACCAGCACCACATTCTTTGCTACGTATGTGCAAACATTTGGAGCGTGGCAGAGAAAATAATTGTTCAAAATTTAAAAATTGCCTTTGTTTCAAGCAAAATATCTTCATGTTGTGGGAAAATTGAGCATGACATTATTTGGTGATCTCTTTTTTATAAACACATTTCATTAAAAAAAAAATTGTCTTCATAATTGTAGTTGTAGGAACACGCTGAACAAATTTTGAATGTTAGTAATTTTCTATAATAATCCTTTGTAAGTAATTGAAAAAACAACAAAAGTTATTTAGTTAATTTTTGACAGAATATTTAAATTTTAAAACTGCTTAAATGTGAAAAAAGAACAAAATATTAATTTCAGAAACCCTCAGAGGTGTTAACAAAACCAAATCTTTTTGTCTTATTATTGTGAATGTTTGGGCCATATCGAGGACTACCATGTATGCAATAGTGATTAGAATTTGTTTACACAATTTTTTAATAATAAATATGCACTAATACTAATTTCAAGGTTAATAATATTACATAAAAAATGATGAAACACTTCTGGAAAACAATAAGCAGTATACACTTCTGTAATGTTACAGTAATTGCTGATACTGATTACTATTACTGAGAATATCAATTACAGTAATTACTGATGTTTTCTTAACCATTTAAAATTTCAAAGAAAATTGAAAGTTAAGTAATTTGAGTATTTGAATTCAATCATTATTTATGATTCTTTATAACAGGATTTTGGCAGCGAGAGATTTCTCATTCCTGAGGCTTTATTTGATCCAAGTGTTGTACCAATGCGAGCAGGAATGGTTGGCAACACAATGCTTGGTGTGGGTCATATTGTCACCACCAGTGTGGGCATGTGTGATGTTGATGTCAGACCATCCCTATATGGGAGTGTTGTTGTAACTGGTGGAAATTCTTTCCTGCAGGTATGTTGTTATTTAAAGTTTATTGTGATGCAGGATGTTATCTTCTGTATAGTATAAAAAGTACCGTCATGGGAAGATGCTTATTTTTAATAATAACATTGATAATCATCTACATATGTGGTGTCATAATGGTACAGTCAGAGTATTCATGGGAGTGGGATTTTAGTCAAAAGGCTTATTTGTTTTTGATATAATAAAAAAATGAAAATATTTACTCTACATCTATTAATGATATGATTGGTGTATGGATTGAGAAGGTTAATAGATGCTGAGGAGGTTGCTGTTGCTCTCAGGATTACTTTTTATTATATTTTAATTTACTTATAGAATTAGTTTCAAAATGATAATTATTTTATGCCATTAGTATATTACTATTATCATGTATAATTTTCAGGGATTTCCGGAACGTTTGAATCGCGATTTATCAGTTCGTATACCATCAAGTATGAGGCTGAAGTTGATCAGTGCGAATGGATGTGCAGAACGTCGTTTTGGAGCATGGATTGGAGGTTCTATTTTGGCCTCAATTGGAACATTTCAGCAAATGTGGATATCAAGTCAAGAATACAAGGAAGGTGGAAAGGGCCAGGTTGAGCGCAAATGCCCATAAAGAGAATTTTGGTGTTCAAGAACCATATGTGTGTAATTTAGTGATTTGATGCTGTGCATTCAAAGAACGGATGACCAGTTATAAGATGAAAATATTTTTTCAGTTGCATGTATTTTTGTCTCTCACTTCAGTGCTCAGATTAGTAGAGATGAAAATGCAGTCACTTTTAACTTAGACCAATCACTGTATGTGCTGTTGTAAATATTATTGAAGAATTCTATGAAGCATCCTGAGTTTAGAACTGGATGTTCTGGCACCGGTGATGCCAAATCACCATTTAATATTTTCATGAGTCCTGAGAACTTAGTGTATACATTTAAATTTTTGCCTTAGTTATTTTATTGAGTATCTTAACCCAACTCAATTGTTTATTTTTTAAACAATATATATTGAAATTTCTCCTAACAAATATGGAAAATTATTTCTAGAGTGACCAGGTTCTGTTGCATTTTTAACTTTCCACTGTGATCTAAAATAGCTGATAGTACGACATGTAAGAAAATAATATAATTTTAGGTTTTGCTATATTTTAGGATGGGGATTTTTTCTTTAATATTAGAAATTGTTCTACAAAAATACTCTTGATGCTTCATAGCATGAATGTCATAATAAACATTGAAATTGTATATCTGGAATTACGAATGTGATCTCTAGGGATTGATTTTTGATTGTAAAGTATAGTGTTAACGGATATTTGTCTTGTGGGGCAAAAATTCATTTTCTATGTATGTTTCTATGTATGTGAGAAATAAACACAATTTACAAGCTTTCTTATAAATCAGAGGGCTTGTGAACAGAATACATCCTACATAGACCTGTTTGTAAAGAAACTTAATTTGTAAATTTTGAGGAACCCCTGATAAGAGTGTCTACTTGTGTGTATTGCTCAAGCAAATTTTATTGATACGTGAGCCCCCTAGTTCTTAACCAGCACAGAATGTCGTGACCCATTGAGTTACTTAGGTATGACTCGAAACCATTCCATACAGCTTGCACCTTGTCCCACAGATGCAGATTGGAGTTTAGAGGTGGAGTCCTGTCATATGCTCCTTGGGATCTTAAACATGCTCGATAGGGGAGAGATCTGGTGATGTTATTGACAAAACACACTCTCGAGGTCGCAGCGGTAATAGGACGAGCGTTGTCCTTTGGAAATAGAGCGTGGGTGTTCACGAATGGCAATCACCGTGGTGGTGTCACAATGCTCGTGAGGAATGCAATTGCTGAACGGACACATAGAACAGCCCATAGAATCACACCTACCTGGCAAGGCGAATGCGTTTCCACACATCGCCCTTCGTGGTGCTCTCCAAAGCGCTTCTAGACACGGGCCCTGTGATTACCGTCACCTAGGTAGAAGCGGGTCTCGTCAGTGAAGATTACCCGTTGCCAGTAGCGTAATAGAATGAACTTTTGCTCGGGCTCCCTTTAAACAAGTGTAGAGCAAACACAAGTACTTTTAATACCTTAAACGATAAAAAAAATGCCCTCTTTAATCTGGTCCTCTAGCATTGAGGGCCTTACGCCAGCCTACTCAGTGGCATTTGTCTTTGCCGTTGGATGTGTTAGCGCGTGCCGGACAATTCGTCGGGCCACCCTCCCCGTGATGCATGGCGGACTTCTCGATCCTGTACGTCATGTTTGCAGGGCCGAATTTACCCCTACTATACAATTAATTCCTTCGTTATTCAAACCTGGTTTTTGCTTTGCAACGGGAACTTACAAGAAATAATTTTGACAGATTGTGTGTGTTACCTATGGAATAACCACATTTGTCACTCATAGTCCTCCGTCCACACTATCCCCCCCTCTCTCCTAAATGTATGTAGTTTATAATTGTGTATTTTGAGACTTAGTTAAGCCACACAAAGAACTTTATTAGTATTTTACAGGGTCTGGTCACATATACATAAAACAAGTTCAAAATGAAACTTCTGAGAACTATAACTTGCTAATACAATCAAGAGAGAGCGTGCAATCATAGTTTCAAGAAGTACGTTCTACTAAGCAATCCGCGAGAAAGGATTAATTACAAATAATAATGAGATATAACAATAATTTTGAACAATCTACGGTGGCCAAAAATTTTGTTTGTTTGTGAAAGAGGTCGAAACACATGAATTGAGTAGTGAACTGGTATATTTACAATCATGTAAAACATATGGACTTTTTTATTGTTTTAGAATATTCACATTTGTATTGGCCAAACAAAACATTTTTTAAACTTTCTCTCTTTGTGAAAGAGAAAGTTATGTAATCGTGCACCGGAAAACGGTGAATTTTCGGTAGAAAACTGATTGCCGGGCCTGGTACCGAAAAAGTGGATAAATCCTGTTGATGTATATAGTAAACGCGGTGTGGCCTTCTAACACGCGGTGTAGCCAGAATCTATGGTCTGTTGGTCCTTGACGGCAAAATGTGGTCAACTCTAGCGCCTGAACCGTTCAGCCGATTTTCTCCCAATCTCCTCAATCGATTTAAATAAGGCCGATGCCCTTTTGAGTTCGAAACATATCTTGATATATGGGGATACTTAACATGAAGCCTCAAAATCATTTTAAAAATTTTCTCAAATATTGCACTTTTTTTTAAAAAAAAAATATAAACTGACTGCATTCGGATAGCGGGACGCTTAAGAGATTGGTACAGGTCTCATGTTTGTTATAATTCCTGATTTTTCGAAAATTTCAAAGGTGCAATTTTGGGAGAAGGCGCCTTAAAAATATCCTAAGGACATTTGACATCCTAAATTATTGTAATTCCGCAAAAGATTGTCCCCTAATAATTCATAGTGGTTATGATTTCCTAGGAACCCCTATACAACAGATACGAAAAATTTCCTAGCAGCGCGTTCTTTAGGGATAAGTAAGCATGACTTCGAAATTTCTATCATTCAGTTTTCTGATATCAAGCACAATAAAAATGTCATTTTTATTTTTCATTCATCTTTTAATTTTGAATCGTTAAGTTTGGGGGAAATTTCTCTTAAATACTTGAACCCATCTCTTTGTTCAAAACTTTAACAAAATTTTTCATTAGTCTTAGTTTGATGTGAAGTGGGGGTAAGAAAATACTTTGTGGATACACCAAAAGTTTGCACACGCACTTTGCTTTGCCAAGGTTGAATTCATTTCTGTGGGGCCACTCTTTGGTTTCATAGTGCTTCTCTACTGCTCTGCTATCCCACATGAGAAAACAACAGCAAATCCCCTTTGAAAACCAAGTAGTAATGATATTACGTTAAAATCTGCGCATATATGCCGTTTGTGATTTTCTTACCCGATACTTTCGTATGATTTTTTTTAAAAGACCGAATGTACTAAGGGAATATATGTTTTCTTGCTCCCTTTGCGCACAGCCTTTAAACTGAACTTGGACGAATCTATTGTGACGTCATGAATACAGCGAACACCAACACGAGCTTTCATATAACAAATATTTATTTACAAGGAAAACAACAAAAATTTACACTTTACACCCTAACTCTGATAGACCTGCTATCCCCTGATCGCGGGAGCGATCCCAACCCGATTGATGATCGGTTTCAATTGTGGCACTCGCCACTTCTACATCTGAAGCGCGCACAAAGCCAAGCTTGCGTGACTGGATGTCACACTGGGACCCAAAGTCCGTACCGGCGTACCAACTGATGGTTTGCCTTGATCGCAGGAGCGATCTTACCCGATTGACAATCAGTGCGATCGTGGCACTCAACCACTCTTCTACTCGGAGCACGCACACAGCATAGCTCCCACGTGACCGCAGTCACCCCAAGGACACAAAGTCCTCCACAGGCTCGTCAACACGTGACTTGCCTTGCGAGCCCTGATCGCCGCTGCACCGTCGTGGCACCAATTTTGTGCAAGTGCACGAGGTTCTCCCACTGTCTCCAGAACCCATCCAGCAGTACATTTGTGCAGTTTTGTGAACGCACAAAAAGTGCAATGCACGTTCACGCCACCGCGGTGGGACCATTCCTACCCTTACGGGCATTATGGCCAATCCTGTAACATAGAGAGAAACAAAAGGTCAAAATATGACTTTAGCCTACCGGCGCGCGCATTGCGTGTTTTGTAATACTACGTTTATGCCACTTCTCTGTTTCAGATTGCTCTTACTCCAGAAAGTGCTTCGGTCGCCTATACTTGGCCCTTTGATCGGGTTGATATGAGGCAATCGCGGAAATGAGATCATTTTCCGAGTCAGCTGCTTTTTCAAAGAAATTTTTAACTATAGTTTTTATATGATTTTTTAGCACTGGCATTGATGATGCGCGATGTAAAGTTTCTATACGAGTGTATCTAGGGCGGCGAAGGGGAGGCCTGAGAAACGTACTGTTTTTTGAAACATACTTGCAGTTTTTTTAAAGTGAATAATTTGCTGCAATGCCAACCTCGGGGCATTCTCGTAGTCATATTGGGGCCGGCCTAAATTATTACTTTATAAAGCGTGAGGCAGTTGCGTTGACAGTTTGCTCGCCTGTGAAACAGGCTCTGCCAATCTGCCTGCGGGTCTGCCGCGCTTTTTGTCGCACATTTTCTAAGTGCGGTTGAAAAGTTAAAGGCTATCTATAAAGTAACTCCTAATATTTGACATTTTTTGTCCAATTTATCACGTCCCCGCAAAGCGCGAGTGCCTCGGGCGCTGATCTCCGTCTCCGTGTGAAGAGCGCAGCTTGCGCGCTTTACTCACATTGACTTTGACCCGCCACAGTTTCAGCCACTCCTGGATCTGTAACAAATGTAGATCCAAATACTTCTGGAGGAGCTCGATACTTCTGACGTGGCTATTACAGCCCCGTGTCGTCTGCATACAAGGCGAGCTCTGTTTGAGGGTGGGTGGGAATATACAGCACGTACAGGCTGAAGAGCGTAGGAGCAATCACGCTCCCGTTGCGGCACTCCGGCCCGTAGGCGCGGCGGGTAGATTTAGAATTCAGAAGCGTTACTTTGAAACGTTCTGTTTGCTATGGTATGATTGATTAGGTGTATAAAGGTACATAGGAAGGTTTATGGAATGGAGTTTAATAAAGGAGGCCGACGTGCCAGACCTTATCGAAGGCGCTGGCAACATCGAGGAAATCCACCTGTAAATCGGCGCTCATTGAAGTTGCGTCTATGCGGTCCGTGATTCCGCACGCACAAGCTGATGCGTTGTGCTATGTCCGCGCGAAAGCAAACTGCTCCTTATTTAGAAGTTTGTTTTCTGTAACAATTTTAGAATTATATTTTTGCATTAATTTTTCACAAAGTTTCCCGACCGTGTTTAATAGGCTAATGGGCCTGTATGATTCGGCGTTTTTTCGGGTTTTTTCCGGCTTGTGAAATGTTAATACATGCGCATGTTTCCACTGCTCGCGGAAATGCTGAACATAAAAATAGCATATGTGTACGTAAGCTTCCGCGGCTAGAATCATCGGCGTCTCCCGGACAGCGAAGAATTCATAAAAATAGCATTAAAACAGTGGCGAACAAGAACACTGTGGGCTTGCTGCGGAGCCTTTTCAGGACGTCGTTAGTGATGCCGTCGGGCCGGAGCTTTTCTAGTCTTCAGCTCCGAGATGGCCGCTTTTACTCAGCTTCTGTAGTGAACTCGGCCTCGTGGCTGGCGCCGTGCAAGGCCGCATTACCGTTTGTTGCACTTCGACAACGTGCGGTATCGGCGGCGCCTCCTGGCACCCGGCTGAAACTGAGATTCTAGGACATTAGCTAGGAGTTCCGCCTTCTCTGCATTGGATTCAGCGAGCTTCTCCTGTGCTGGTCTGAACGGCGGCACTGTGAATAGGTTTCTGGAAGCAATGCGTGT